TTTGGAGGTGCAAGATACTTGAGCGTGTAATGTTAATTTTACCTGTGATCCTTTGAATAAATCAGCACCGTTTTGTAGTTACTTGGACTGCCTCATCTCTCAGAGTCAGTATGGTAGAAAGTACGGGGTACAACACAGGAATTGGTGAATTTATTAACATGGACCAAGGTTTTTTTTAAAGCTTCTCTGTAAAGTGAGATCTGTGAATGTAAACTGTCACATGAATAAACAAACTGGCAGCTTACAGCAGCTCCTAGGGTAGGTGAAAAAAGCCTGGGGGATTCTGTTTCTCAGCAACAGGTCGCAATTCTCAACCCTCCCATTCTGGTGTCCTGTTCACTGGGAGGTGGCAGTACAGGCTAATATCAGACTGCTCCTCCTCCTCCTCCTCCTCCTCCTCCACTGGGATGGAAACTCACTCCATACTACTGCTTCCTAGTGTCTGCACATAAACCAGGAGGAGTAAGAGGAAAACAGGATGGCCAACTCGTCACTGGAGATAGCAGGTGCTTTACTGACTGTGATCGGGCTGATAGGGGCGGCAGCCAGCACTGGGATGCCAATGTGGCGAGTGACAGCCTTCATTGGGGAAAACATCATTGTGTTTGAGACCCGCTATGAAGGTCTGTGGATGAACTGCTATCGGCAGGCCAACATCAGGATGCAGTGTAAGGTGTACGACTCTCTCCTGGCCCTAAGTCCTGACCTACAGGCAGCACGGGGGCTCATGTGCTGCTCTCTGGCACTGGCTGGTATCGGTCTGATGATCAGTTTGGTGGGGATGCAGTGCATATCATGTATTGAAAACAACAATCGAGCTAAGCGAATGATCCTCATCATTGCAGGAAGCCTGATCATAATGGCTTGCCTCTGCGTCCTTATCCCTGTGTCGTGGACAGGCCATGTCATCATCATGGACTTCTACAACCCCTTGCTGATCGATGCCCAGCGTAGGGAACTCGGAGAGGCTCTGTACATTGGCTGGGTGGCCTCTGCTTTCTTGTTCGCTGGAGGATGCATGTTTACTTGTTGCAATTTGCAGTCTGATGACAAAGGTTCAGAGAGGTACATTTACTCCAGGCCCTCTGACTACATGGTCTATCCTCCACAGCCTCTACAGCCTCAACAGCTGGTAGTAATTCCCCAGCAACAGCCCCAACCTCAGCCAATGCTGTCAAGACACCCATCTGCCAACTACAGCTACCACTCCAGATACCCCTCTGTACGCAGTGGGGTGGCTTATCTCTGATGACTTAAACTGACTGAGGTAACAACTGTCAGTTACAATCTCAATATGCAACGGAATAACCTTTTGATATGGGTTTGTTTGGCAGTGCAATCTATCACACATTTCAATATCAAAAAATGTACTTCAGGCTTGAAGAAAAAAACATTTACTGTCACTACACACTGATTAATTCATTTGGATGTCCTTTTTAATTCACTCATTTGTTTTACATATTTGAGAAGTACTTAATATCTTGCTAAAGATCACTAGTTATAGAATTTTGATGTTTCCTATGACATAGTTGTGTAAGCAGCACATGATTTCCATTACTTTTGTGTGTGTTGTATAGTAACGTTTTATAATGACAGTCAATTTTCTATATTAGGTTACCGGTTTTGTATATGCTTATACAATTCATGCTACCCGTAGCCACTGAGTAATGTGACACAAGTGTATTTACTGTTAAAATTGCTCATATGACTGAACTGTTTGTTGTTACTGTTAACTGTTTATAACAGTTAATACTTCTTTCCACCTCCAGCATTAGCTGTGCCTAATCTAACTGCTCAAATTACATACAACCCCAAAAAACAAAAGCACATGCACACAAATTTATAAGAATTACACATCTGTGTAGTACAAATAACTCCTCACAGACACTAGTGACATTCACACACATGGTCCTCATATTTACCTTCTCAGTTTTTAACCAGTTTTAACCAGTATTAGATTAGACACATGATGCTAATACACTGGTGACTGATTGAGAATTACACAGGTAGTTTTGTCTAAAACTCAAAATATTGTGTGTAAGCCTATTTAATCAGATTTGTGACTGATTTTTGTTACACTTCGGTGTGATGCCCCGACACCCTTGTGAACTGATGGAAATGAACAAATGGTTGAACAAACATAAGGTGTCTGTTTAAGGTTTGTTAAAGGTGTGGACTCAGAGGCAACTAAGCCAGAGAGGTCAGTGTCTATAATGAATGCTAACATCATGATCATGCGAGATCAAGAATTTGCAAAACACTTTGAATGGCGACACAGAGAGCTTATGGAGTTCATTTCCTGATTCATTCCAGCAAAATAGATTAGTGAGAGAACATTTTTTCTTTCTGTTCAGTAAAGTGTATTATTTCTTCAGCTATTACAGCAGGTCACCTCATTTCACTTTTGAGTTAAAAAGTAAACTATAGTTCAAATTAGACATGTAGAATCTCCATCTACAATATAATAGAAGCAATAATATTAAAATAAATAATTCCACAGACTGTAAGGATCTCTTTCAGTAAAGCACTGTTATTTCATTGCAGGGTCATACTGGAAATATTTGGCAATGAAATGGCAATGTTGTCTTTACTGATGCTTCAGGTTACACTAATTGTTATTTGCACTGCAAGACCTGAGGTCTATTCACCTTGAAAGTCATCTCTGCCCCCCTGTGGTCAAAAGGAGTACCGCAGTAGCTTTTGTACTACATTGTAGCCTATATGTGTTTGTTCTGAATTTTTATGTGTAATTATAAAAAATAAAATCATGGCAAGTAATTAAACAAGTTTATGATGGCGTGAGCCGTTTCTGGTATTGTCCTGTTAGTGTTTACTGTTGGGGAAGCTTACTGCAGATACAGCACTATAGCTAGAGAAACCATAAATACAAAATAAGTGGAGATCCTCTTTACCCCCATCACTCTGGACCAACCAGGTGACAGCAAAACATTTTCCCCAAAACAAACCACCCCTGACAGCATGCAAACTGCATCAGATGATATGATCATCACTGCCTTGAATGCATCTCTGGGATATTGTAAAGCATCAGAATTTGTTGGCAAAGTGACTTTTCCTCATTTTGATTTGGACACAGCGGAAACTGCACAATGGTTCAAGGCCATTCTGAGATAGCTGCACTGTGTGTCGGCCTGATCGGGCTGATCGGGGTGGCAGCTACTACGGGGATGCCCATGTGGAAGGTGACAGCTTTCATCGGAGAGAATATAATTGTGATGGAAACTCGCTGGGAGGGCTTGTGGATGAACTGCTACCAACAGAGCAACTTCAGGATGCAGTGTAAGGTGTACGACTCACTGCTGTTCCTGTCCCCGGAATTACAGGCATCCAGGGGTCTGATGTGCTGTTCTCTGGCCTTATCAGGGCTGGGGCTCCTTGTGGGTCTGGCGGGAATGCGATGGATTTCCTGTTTCCAAGGTAATCATCGGGCTAAAACCTTTATCCTGATGGTTGCAGGTAGTATGCAACTTATGGCCTGCATTTGTGTCTTTATCCCAGTGTCATGGACAGGCCACGTCATCATTAGAGATTTTTACAATCCTTTGCTAATTGATGCCCAGAGGAGAGAGCTGGGACAGGCTCTCTACATTGGTTGGGTGACTGGCGCCTTCCTTTTTGCCTCAGCTATGTTGTTTGTTTGCCGCCGTTTGCCCTCAGACAAAGGCTCGTTCGACGTGCACTACCCAGCCAACTTGTTTGGTTACAAGCCAGCACCCAGCAGGCCACCTCTGACATATCATCCCATCTCTGGTGTTTCTAGCCTTCGATCAACTGCATATCAACCTTCTCTGCAGAACAACGGCTCTGTTGGACAACAAGCTACCCTACTGCAAAATGTCCCGCAAGTAATGACAAATGATGGAGCATTAATTAACCCTTCTCTTGTTCATGATCCAAGTCTGCCTGAAAATGTATCACTGTTATATCAAGGTAACATGGCTCACTGTTCACCTGTGCAGATTGCTAACCATACTGGAAACCTGTACACACCACAGAGCTACTTATACCTAAGTCGAAACACCTCACCATATTCCCTGGCTCGTACGGACAATCCCACTGCATCCAGCCTGTCCAGCTTTCATCCAGTTAAACAGAATCCTATTTTCATAACATATAAAGCATCAATAATTGAACCAGTGTCTGACAGTGGGAGCAGTGTTGGTCTATACATATAACACAAAAGCAGGAGTAGGTTTTTGCAGCTTTTTCAACTAAACTACTGGCATGATGCTTTTATACTCTATCACAAGCTGATTGAAACTCTTGTACATCAGTGGCAAGGTGAAGGTAAATTATGTCATCTGTGCTTATGTTAGGATTATCCTAAGGCCCAGACTAAACAGCATGGCTGTGGACGACTGGTTGAAAACCCCCGTGCTACACTTACATGTTGCTACTTTGTGCTGTCAAATAACTGTTGCCTTGAATTTTTAAATGTTGGATGAAATATGCAAAACTGTTTTTTATGAATAAATGTTACTCAAAACCTTGTGGTAGTAAAGGTGTTGTTTTCAAGGGTATTCTTGGCATGACAATGCTACTGAACACTTTGGTATGTATTCATGTAAAACGATACACTTAGCTCAAGAGACGAGACCATACAGGATAATGGCTTCACGAGAACGAGGCGAGACAATAATTCAACACTGCTTTTAAGAAATCTGACTGAAAAAATAGTTTTATCAACGGAAAGTCACAAAATGCAAAGCACTGCAGGTGCATTTTGAAATGTTTTAACTAATTGTGTCACTTCAGTTCTACTTTCTGAGTATGAATTATATGTCATAAAGGACACAACAATGTGCAGGCACTGTAAAAGGCTTTTCCACAAACTCAACTGACTGGCTTCTCTCTTATATGATTTCACGAGTCTCTCCAGACCTTAAAACTGTGCATCAGCTTCTGCTGCCTGCTACTCTGGATCTGTTATGTACTGATAACACCTCGACAATAAATATTGTCATGCATTAATATCACGATATCTTGTAGCATGAGATCTCATCACACTCCTATAAATGAGGTAGCCTAACATTAAGTCATTATATCTGGTTGTTCTTTACATAATCAAACATTTCTGATGCTTCCTGGCTCAGGTAGAAGGAGTTTAGAGCATCCCTGGCTACTGACTGGTGCAACTAAAAAGAGAACTTTTTACCTTCTAAAATAAATAAAGAAAATAAATAAAGTGGGTTACGGTAACATGAACATTTTATTTTACTATGAGACTGTGTCAAATAAATAGTTTGAGATAGTTAATCTTCAAGAGAGAGCCACCGACCAGTTTGAAGATTAGATTTGCATTTCCATCAGGACTAGAGCAAAGATTTAATCATTCCTCGGTGTACCAAAGCAAAGACGTTGTCGAGGTCGAATGTTGCAAGATTTGAAGTTAATCTTCAGGGTGTATCCATGTTTATGGATCAGTGGCTTGGCTGTGCCCTCATTTAAGCGCCTGCACGGGAGGAACGCTCAGCGGTGTCAAGTCAGCCATCAACCGTGAGAGTGACACAGGAAACAAGGCAAGCTTGATTTCAGAATAAAAAACATTCAAGTAATGACTAAATAAGGCAGCAGATGCAGAAAATATTCAAACTGTTAAATATTTGCATGACTAAAGAAGTGGAGATTGGGGAATTAGTATCATAAGAGAGACGGGTTTAGTTGAATATGGGAATTTGCTGTAGAGAAATAAGAAACATAATACTGGGAAATTATTAATAAATACAAAAACATACACAGAACTACAGTGTAGATATCTAATGGCTGAAACAGTATAGGCCATATATTTCTCATTCAACATGCTGTGGATTGTCTCTATAGCTATTGCCTATTCATCTTTTATTTTGAAATATGCAACCAGAAACCGGTTTTCTTTTTTTGCAAGCTTAACAGCAGGAGCTCAGCGCACAGTCCTCCTCATCAGCTCGAGCCTACAATTCAAGTGTGCACAGGGAAAAAAAACATAAGAGGGGTGTCTGAACACTAAATATGGGAAGCAAACCTTACTGGCACATAAAGGATTATAGAATGGGAAAACTGGAGTTCTTCTGATCAGTGACAACTGCAAGCGGAGTGTGTGTTTTTGTTGCTTTTTCTCTTCACAATGTATGAGCGATGTGGGTCAGATGCCAGTTTATTTCTGTTACGGATACAGGGACTGGCAAGTTATCGGCATGAATTACAGAGAGCATAAAAACTGATATCAATGTTAAATTCAACTCTGGAGGGAGGACCATGGCCAAAAGGATGGGACTGTTATTTTCACTGCTCTACTTTATGGCAGAGTTTTGGCTCACTTCGCAGCAAGTCCTGAGAATTGGTAAGTGGTAAGATCATCACTTCTGTCGTGTTAGTTGTGTTGCTTTGGGTTGTTAATGTACAGACTGCCAACGTGCACTCATCGCAGGTTTTAATATTCACCCTATGATTACAAGACGTAGGCTGAGGCTCGTTTCCCACCGAGATGAGTCTCTTTGTATCTGTAATTTTGAAAAGTTACCCTTCTGTGGAATTATAATGTACAATATTTTTAATATCTCATGGTGCATATGGACCAATGGGTTAGTTTCCAAGCTGCAGGATAACCTTTAACTCCTGACACCATCAACCAAAACTTACTTTTAAACTCCATTCATGTTCCTATAGGAAGTGACAGTGTGTCTGGGCTACTTTGTACATTTGTTTTAAGGTATTAAAAGTTTCTTCTGCTGTTGTTTCATATCAGTCTTGTTGTCTTACAGTCATTATGACCAGTATCCTGTCACATCCCTAAAGGATAATCAGGATGTGTGCCTGTGTTATTCAACAGTGATCTTACACAGAGTGTCCTAAATATTGCCATTAAGACGCCTTTTTCTTTTCTTGTTGTACTGTTTTGTACGGTACCTTTATACGTCAATATGTGTGGGTTTTTTATTTTTTCATAACGGAGGTAATGAGAACATAGTGCTGGTCGTCCACACGAAACAAAATTGTGTTAATCAGCTTTGGTTGATTGGGAAAGAGAGAGTTTCTCACTCCGTTCCTCCATGTTGACAGCACAGGTCAGAGGCAGACGTGTGATTAAACTGACCTACTGCTGCATCTGAAAGCATGTACTGAGGCATGTGAAATGGATACAGAGCTAAACAAAGAAGAGTGAGCAGTCTGAGTGAGACTTGCTTATATTTGGCTTCTCTTCAACCTAACAGACTTAAATATTATTTGGCTATGGTGTATATGCAGCACATGCTGATGTCAAGCAGCATCTGTGCATGTGGATCAGAGTCCACAGCTGAGAGTTGACAAGAACTCTGCTGTCAGCTTCACTCCGCACTTGTAATTACACAAACTGGGCTCTTGCTCCAACTATCCCCCTTTGATTTCTTATGTAACGTTCTAACAATGAGCCAGTGTTAGCTGGCAAATTAATGCTTTCCGCTCCTTTCCCACTGGTTGTCCACCATTCTGCTCATGAATTAAAAAAATTGCATCACAAAAAAGACTTTAATTTAAGCCCCAGGGCTCTCTGCTCCACTCAACGCCCAGGGCGACTGGATTTCTCTAAAACTGCTCTACTTCTAAAGACTTTATCAATTAGACTTGTGGCTGAGAGGCAGTGCTACCTCCTTGTTCTAACAGTCCTGATCTGTGCTCTGCTGTTAATCTCTGTCAATCATCTCTCACTCTCTGAGGTCACCTAATATCTGTCATTCTCCTCATGACCCGCACACATCACAATCTTTCCCATATGGTGTGGGACTTGATTCAATTAACATTTCTCTGTCATAGCACATGCTGGCATCAGCTTGTGACTGGCTTCCACTCTTTTCACTATGGCTGGTAATAATGGTAAATCTCCTCCAAGCCCTTAAACAACTAACACTAATCTTCTTTATGCAGAAAGTCTCTTCACCAAATATGGTACTTGGGCAGCGACCAAATCTCATCACTGGGGAAAAGTGCAGAAGGAGCAGCTGGTGGCTTGTCCCCCCCCCATTCTAGTTTTCTCTCACTAAACTCCTGTTTTATCTTGCTTGCATATGTATTGGTGATATCTGATTTGTGTATGATTCAACCCATGTGATGTGAAATGTGATTATTGGCCAGTGAAGTATCATTTGATGCAGTTTATCTCCCTACTTACTCCAAAAGTCTCATAGTTTTATAAATTGAAGTAGGTGAATTTTTTCAAATGCAGTCAGATTATAATCCCTATTTTTATTCTTTTGAGCTAAATGTCTTGGTGGTGGGTCGTAAGAAGCTATCCTATAAACAGAGAAACCTCAGTGTTCCACATCAAACGGAGATAGTACACTGGTCAGGACCTCCTCATTCATTCACAGTCTGGCACAGGCCCAGGCTAAAGTGGTGCTGGTGGTGCTGCTGAGCTGGGGGTAGGGGGTCTTACTGGGAACTGGCCCAGAATGGGGAGAGGAAAGCAAAACACTACGTCATTGTGCGTCTCTGCTTTAAAAGGCTCCCCTTCATGTGATAACTGCACAGAGGCACAAAACTGCAGAGTAGAATTAAGATCTAAAGACATACAGTATTTCTTAATGTTGACCTTTTATTTTGGTCCCAAAGCCACATTATTTTTCTTGCTTTCTGCACTGATGTGGGAACATAAGTATAAGGGATTATCAGCATTTGCCTGCAGCATGAGCAGAATCTTTTGTTTCTGTGACCTCCTAGCATGCATCATCCCACAGCATTGTCTGGCCTATTAAAGATGAGATGGAGGCTCAGTGATTTTAAACTATACTGGAAAATAATTACTGGTAGCTATAGCTAAAATGTTCACATCCTTTCTCTGTAAACTGCACTAATTATAAGTCTGCAGTTCAAAGAGAAGCTGGGATTTATTATACACCTACGCATAGATAGTTTATTTTACTTTTTTAGCAGACTCCTGGTTGTTTACAATTCACAGTAAAGTGGCTCACAAGAGAAGCATGTCTATGGTTTCTGCCCTGTCTCTATAGTTTCACCTGCACCTTTTATTTTAACCTTGTAAATACTGAACTACAGATTATCAAAGGCAGCACCTTCTTTTCCAGTTATTTGTTTACTTGCCAATAACCTACTGCAAACAGAAAGTGTGAGATGATTATTACCTATTTTATCTGTATCAGTACTGGAAACAGATCCCATTTACAGTGTTGACGTGCAGAACATAAGGTTGCCAAAGTCCTCT